TGGACGTGATCGTTACCTGAAAAGCAGTGCTAGTCCAGCGAATCTGAAATGCTGCCGAAGGAACGGAAATGTTGTCTGTATTTTTCACGCTCTCGATAGTGTATCGTGTCACCTGCCCCAACAAATACGCGGTTCCAGCATCTTGGTAAAGTCTTTTCGGCATCCAAGCTTCTTTAGCAGGCGCAAACGCGACACTGGTCTTAACAAATCTCTCGGCTGTCATCCGCGCTACACGGATCAACTCATCTTTCATTTTTATCGCCAAAGTTTTCCGTTTTGGTTTCGTTTGAATGGGCGACTTGCCGTTCTTATTGAGCGTACTTGATTTTGGTGTTGTAACATGAGATGGCCTTTTAGTTTGTGAAGAACCATGTGTCTTTTGTTTTGGGCGTGGTTGTCGACCTTGAGCACGGTTCGCGACACTATCCTTTGGAGTCAGAGCACTGGTCGTCAGTGTTGAGCTAATCGACTGAGCGGTGTTAGATTTGCTACAAGAGACGGAGTTTGTTGTACCTTCGTTTTCTAAGCTTGTAGTATAATCATAGCAACGCCTGCTACAGTATGAGTTATCGCCAAAGTCTTCCATCAGTTCACCACCGGGATCACTAATTTTTAACGAGATACACACATCGTGCGAGCAGAAATGGTGGATAAAATGTCCACATCGCGAGCATGCTCTTTGTCTGGAGCAAGTCGTCTTACATACTGCGCAGACTGGTGAATTGACAGCGATGTCTGGACTGGTCGATTCCGCATGCGTTTGCGCTGGTTGCTCGGCTGCAGCTGACACATGCAATAATACAAATCTACCGTCCGATACGGTATCATTACTCTGCAGTTCTGAGCATATCGAATCAGCCGAAATGATTCGAGCACAGCTTTGTGATGTTAAGCCATCAAAGCGTACTTCACCGCCAGTATTTTGCCTATCGTTTGGATCTGGATTTCCATCGTCACGTGTACTACCTGCAAGACAACCTCCATCACCAGTAGTCCCACATCCATCGGAGATACTGTCTACAGGAATGCTAAAGTCTGCATTAGGAGAATCACTGTCATTCGTACACCTGTAACCAGTGCCAGCGTCCGAGTTGCCTTCCAAAGTCGCTCGGTTATAATGCTCCAAAAGTGCACGTTCTCCAAGAAAAAAATCGACCCCAGCCTCTCTATTTGCATTACCATCGGGAGGGACGTAGCGATAAAGCTCGCACAAACCGGGTTGGCTGTCGATGATACCAGCCTTGATTGCGGAAAAAGCGCCATACCGCACCAAATGCAGCCCGGGTTAACTGCTATGTACGTGCAT